ATTTTAATACGAAAAAAAAAAAAAAAAATCTGTACCCGAATAATAGAGATGGAGGCTATTAAATGTTATCTTTCAGAATACAATTTACTCCTGCTTTGATAGTAAGGCTGATCGGTCAAACAAGGGCAAAATGACAGCCGTTGTACAAAACGAGCTCAAGTTGTTAGTTAACCGGGGGAAAAGATGGCTTGTTACTTTTAACGCCTCCCAAACTAAACTGCTCACCATGAATCATCTGAGAGACCCCCACTCTACCTTCCAGCAGCGTGGCTGATGTCATCCCCTCCCCAAGAAAGTAACTCACCTTCTCGGACAAACGCTTTCTCCATGCTTTCCAACCAACTTTAATCCGCAAAAATTTAAATGCAATGTCAATCGCTATCTACCGTCCTGATTGCTATTTCATCTTTCTTCGTATTACTAATGTTTTTTGTTCCTAATTCCTTCACACCCTGTAACCCCTTGTGTGCTAATGGCTTTACTACCTTGCCTGAGGTGTTACAGATAAAAAAAAATTGTACATATGTCATAAATTTCAATCAGGTGTGAAACAAAATAACGTGTTCAAATGCCACCTATTGAAACCGCTATGAATTTTTGGCCCAAACCAACAGTAAAGTATCAATCATTTCTAAGGGGAATATATTCTGAAGATTTCAAGATCATTACAATGTTTAAAATGCTGTAGCATTATTTATGATATAGGAGAGCCCATTAAGTACATGAACCTTCCAAACGTTTTCTTTCTATTCAACATTAAAACTATAAAACTTTAAATGTGGCAGTTGATAAAGGTGTCTGAAACTGATGGTGCTGACCTTGCTACTAATAAAGACAATATTACCATAAATATGAACAAGCAGTAAATTTTACTGTATGAGCGGGTGCTGAAAAATACTCAGCCAGAACAAAAAAAATTTTTTTTTTTTTTTTAAATATCCCAATGTTTGTTCATTTAGTCAGATTTTGGGAAAAGGGTTGGGCAAGAAAATTTCATCATCCCTTCGTCATATATATATATATATATATATATATATATATATATATATATATATATATATATATATATATATATATAGGTAATATTAGTGGTCAATATATATATATATATATATATATATATATATATATATATATATATATATATATATATTCGCAAGAGGATAGAATCCAGGTAGAACTCAATGTCCAGGACAGAGTAAGAATATAATATAAAAGTCTTGAACACTAATATTCCATGGTTATAATTTATTACATTGGAATCGTAGTCACGATCCAATTCATCAGACCTACAAATTCAAAAATAAATCGGTCTGATGAATTGGATCGTGATTACGGTTCCAATGTAATAAATTATAACCATGGAATATTAGTGTTTTAGCCTTTTATATATATATATATATATATATATATATATATATATATCAGGATGTGCAGGTGGTGAAATGGATAGCAGCTTAGAATGAGAAATTGGCGAGCTTTATGTTCTTCCAACCAGCTATGGGTTAAACAGTAGGACAAACTAGGCTCTTCGGCCTTGGCTGGCAACCAGTCAAGGAGAAGGACAACTTTAATTCAAAATTGGTTGGGCATAGGGCTAGCAACTTTATCCATAAAACCTACTTCCTACTGAAACCACAGTGGCATCACCTAGCATGTTGAGGATTGTAGTACCATGCTCCTCAGGGGAGTTTACAGGACTTGAGGGAGTGAATTCACACATATTTATAGCTAAATTCCGGTAGTACACTAGACATTCTATAATGGTTAGTCTTCTATATGCCTAAGTAATTTTTATCTTAAAAATATAAAAATCTTGTATTCTTTCATCTATGCATCTAAGGCAAGCAAAATCAGTCCAACTATAAATTAAATCATTTGAATTAACAATTTTAGTTTACTATTAATAATTAAGAGTCAGAAATACAGGTATGAAATTAAAATAATTTCTTTAATTTGATATTTTATTATATTGAACATCATTAACATATTACGGTATACAATGTCATGTAAGACACCCTACAAGTATTACTAATCTATAGTGTCTGGTGAAACATTAGCCTATCAGATACCATAATTTCACATATAACACTAGGGAGTTTTATCTTTTTTTTTTTTGCCCATCATGGCCTAGAGATTGAACGCACGACTGTCAGGTTTAGTTTGGTTTCGTTTCTGCTTCACCACCCAGCAGCCATTATAGGATTATTTAAAGTCAGATAAAAGTTCTGAATCAGGGTTGTTTTGAGTTGAGCTTGATGATGTATGTGTATCAGTGATAGTTTTAGGTACGCGTTATCTGGTGTAATTTTTCTTTAAGCAATTACTAGAGCCTGTCTATATTTCTGAGATGACGTATTATGTACACTATTTACATTATTCGGACTATTGACCTCATCTTTGTCGCCATATTTATTACAACGTTTCGGCCCTTCAGTATCTGTCTATATTTCTGAGATGACGTATTATATACATTATTTACATTATTCGGACTATTGACCTCATCTTTGTCGCCATATTTATTACAACGTTTCGGCCATTCAGTATCTGTCTATATTTCTGAGATGACGTATTATGTACATTATTTACATTATTCGGACTATTGACCTCATCTTTTTCGCCATATTTATTACAACGTTTCGGCCCTTCAGTATCTGTCTATATTTCTGAGATGACGTATTATGTACATTATTTACATTATTCGGACTATTGACCTCATCTTTTTTCACCATATTTATTACAACGTTTCGGCCCTTCAGTATCTGTCTATATTTCTGAGATGACGTATTATGTACATTATTTACATTATTCGGACTATTGACCTCATCTTTGTCGCCATATTTATTACAACGTTTCGGCCCTTCAGTATCTGTCTATATTTCTGAGATGACGTGTTATGTACATTATTTACATTATTCGGACTATTGACCTCATCTTTGTCGCCATATTTATTACAACGTTTCGGCCTTTCAGTATCTGTCTATATTTCTGAGATGAGGTATTATGTACATTATTTACATTATTCAGCCTATGTGAGCAATGACAAAACTTTAGGTGAAATGGAAACAAAGAGGAGACTTACATATCAGGAAGAGATATGAAAACAAAAAAAGATATACTTATTTATCAGTAAGAGACATTTGGAATTTCTAGGGCAGATAATGAGGAAGGAGGACTTAGCAAATCTGATACTCACAGGACAGATTGAAGGCAAGAGGGACAGAGGAAAAGAACACATAATATACTTAGTGCACTTCAGAAAAAGGATGGGTTTAGGAGTAATAACAAAAAGGCAAAATTTACTAAGGACAGGACGTTGTGGAGAGCCATGATCGCCTATATCCTGAGGTAATACTGCATATAAAGAAGTAGAATGAGGAAAGAAGGCTTGGAAAATCCGATACTCACAGGGCAAATTAAAGGCAAGAGAGAGAGAGAGAGAGAGAGAGAGAGAGAGAGAGAGAGAATGCATAATATACTTGGTGACCTGCAGAAAATGGTTTAGGAGAAATAACAAAAAGGCAAAGTTTATTAACAATAGGAAAATAGTAAGGAAAGTAAATAAATAAATAAAGAAAGAAAGAATGAAAGAAAGAAAGAAAAAAGAAAGAAAGAAAGAGAGAAAGAAAGAAAGAGAGAGAGAAAGAAAGAATGAAAGAAATAAAGACGAAATAAATAAATAAAGAAAGAAAGAAAGAAAGAAAGAAAGAAAATATATTTAAGAAGAAAACCAATAAAAAAGAAAGAAAAAATAGTAAGGAAAGTAAAGAAAGAAAGAAAGAGAGAAAGAAAGAATGAATGAAAGAGAGAAAGAAAGAAAGAAAGAAAGAAAGAAAGAGAAAGAAAGAAAGAATGAATGAAAGAAATAAAGACGAAATAAATAAATAAAGAAAGAAAGAAAGAAAGAAAGAAAGAAAATATATTTAAGAAGAAAACCAATAAAAAAGAAAGAATAAAATAGTAAGGAAAGTAAAGAAAGAAAGAAAGAAAGAAGAGAAAAGCGAATCAATTGTTAAGAAACAAAAGAAGAAAGAAAGAAAGAAAGAAAGAAATAAGGAAAGAAAGAAAGAAAGAAAGAAAGAAAGAAGGAAAGAAAGAAAGGAAGGAAGGTAAAGCGAATCAATTGTTAAGAAACAAAAGAAGAAAGAAAGAAAGAAAGAAAGAAGGAATAAAAAGAAAGTGATTGAAATCTTAAGAAACCAATGCAAGAGGAAAAATGAAAGAGTAGAAAGAAAGTAAAATTAGTAAACAAAAGAAAGAGAAACAAGTGAGAAAGAAAGAAAGAAAGAAAGAAAAAAAAGAAAGAAATCCTACCAGTGAGTCCAGTATTAACAGCATAAGATACTCAGATCACACTGTTTTGATGACAGAGACAGAAAAAGAAAAAGCAGGAACTCCTACAGACGGTTCGAAAAGGAAAGCGGGAATAAAGGACTAACCATAAATTATAAAAAGACAGAACGAATGGTTGTCAGCAAAATGCCAGCTGCGAACTGGATATGTCAAGAAGAAACTTGAAGCAACAGAAATATGGTCCTACAGAATTCTACTGAGAATACCATGGAATGAACATGTGAGTAATGAGGAGGTTTTAAGGTAAGTGAAGAGAAAAAGGAGACTTATACATAGAATCAAAAAGAGATAATTGAAATTACTAGGGTACATAAAGAGGAAAGAGGATTTAGAAAAGTTTTACACGCGCAGGGTATGTTGAAGGCTAAAGGGACAGAAAAAAAACATGGCGTAGCTTACCTAACGAACTTGTGTAAATGCTTGGCAGAACAGGGATTAAGAGAGAGGGCAAAAAAGCAAGCATTATTAAGAGCTGCAAAGGACAGGAAGCTGAGGAGAGTTGTGATCGCCCACGACCTGAAGGGAGGCGCCACAGAAAAGAAGATATCCGAATAAAAATTATGAGACAAGAACATTAGACAGTTTTTTTTCTCCCCACTATTATTAACTGGATATGCTAAATCTTATATATATACGAACGTCGCATAATGATTTATGTTTCTTTCTATCTCTCTCTCTCCATCCCCTCTCTCTCTTTCCAGTTCTCTCTTCCTATCTCTCCCTTTTTCCTCTTCTCTCTTGCCACATCTCTTTCTTTCCACCTCACTCTCTTTCCACCTCTCTCTTTCCACCTCACTGTGATTGCGTGCGTGTGTGCGTGGCGCGTCCGTACGGCGCATAATGATATTTCTTTATCTCTCTCTCTCTTTCTACCTGTTCCTCTTACCCCTTCTCTCTTTCCACCTCTCTTTCTTTTCACCGCTTTCTTTCCACCTCTATTTTTCCACCTCTCTGTGATTCGTGCGTGCGTCGTCAGTCCGTCCGTTGCATAATGCTTTAAGTTTCTTTCTATCTCTCTCTTTCCCCCCTCTTTCTCTTTCTGCCTCTATCTTCCAACCTCTCCCTCTTTCCCCTTCTCTCTTTCCACCTCTCTTTCTTTCCACCTCACTCATTTTCCACCTCTCTCTCGTTCCACCTCTCTCTCTTTCCACCTCTCTGTGATTCGTGCATGCGTCGTCCGTCTGTCGCATAATCATTTAAGTTTCTTTCCACTTCTCTCTTCCCACCTCTCTCTTTCCCCTTCTCTCTTTCCACTTCTCTTTCTTTCCACCTCACTCTCTTTCCAGATCTCTCTCTTTCCACTTCTCTGTGATTGCGTGCGTGTCTGCTTGGCGTGTCCTTCCGTCCGTCGCATAATGTTTTAAGCTTCTTTTCACCTCACTCTCTCTCTTTTCCCACTCTCTCTCCACCTCTCTTCCCACCTCTCTTTCCCCGTCTCTCTTTCCAACTCTCTTTTCTTTCCACCTCACCTCATTTCCACCTCTCTCTCTTTCCAACTCTCTTTCTTTCCACCTCACTCATTTTCCACCTCTCTCTCTTCCCCACCTCTTCCTTCTCTTTCCCCTTCTTTTCCACCTTTCCAGATCTCTCTTTCCACCTCCTCTCTTTTCCGTCCGTCTCTCTCTCTTTCCTTCTCTTTCCACCTTCTCTCTCTCCACCTCTCTGTTCTTTTTCCCGTCCTTTTCCAACTCTTTTCTTTCCACCTCATCATTTTTTAACTCTTTTCTTTCCACCTCACTTTTCTCTCTTTCCCACCTCTCCTTCTCCCCTCTTTCCACCTCTCTCTTCCCCCTCACCTCTTTCCAGATCTCTTTTCTCCGTGCGTCTCTCTTTCCGTCGGCTACCTTTTCTCTCTCTCTCTTTCCACTCTCTCCACCTCTCTTCCCACCTCTCTTTTCCCTGTCTCTCTTTTCCAACTCTCTTTCTTTCCACCTCACTCATTTTCCACCTCTCTCTCTCTTTCCAACTCTCTTTCTTTCCACCTCACTCATTTTCCACCTCTCTCTCTCTTCCCACCTCTCCTTCTTTCCCCTTCTCTCTTTCCACCTCTCTTTCTTTCCACCTCACTCTCTTTCCAGATCTCTCTCTTTCCACTTCTCTGTGATTGCGTGCGTGTCTGCTTGGCGTGTCCTTCCGTCCGTCGCATAATGTTTTAAGCTTCTTTCTACCTCACTCTCTCTCTCTTTCCACTACTCTCTCTCCACCTCTCTCTTCCCACCTCTCTCTTTCCCCGTCTCTCTTTCCAACTCTCTTTCTTTCCACCTCACTCATTTTCCACCTCTCTCTCTCTTTCCAACTCTCTGTGATTCAGTGCATGCTTGCGTTAAGTGAATAAGATTTAAAAATACGAGTTGTTTATACAGTAAGTCTTTTTATTTTCACTTTCTTCAGACAATATTTTTAATTAGAATATTTTTAAGTTAACGACAGACACAAAGAAATCCTGCTTTGCTGTTTCGTCCAGTTGTTTGTAGACTAATTATTTATACTTAAGCTTTCTTTAAGCAAACAATATTTTAAATATTTAAAAAAATATTTTTGCCTATTTAAAAAATATTTTCAAGTGAATATAATTTAAAATTATTTTTTGGCCAATTAAAAAATATTCTTAAGTTAATCTGATATAAAGTTCAAGTTTATCCCATAAGCACTATTCCTCTTAAAAGCTGTAAATAACGTTAAACATAAACTTTTAAACCAGACTAATGATGACAGGAATGAATTGAAATATTTAACTAAATCATAATAAAATTAACTTTAACTTTCAATAGAATAGATGAAATAAACTATATATTTATAACCGGAACCTCAGTGACCCAGCGGTTCACGGGTATGTCTCGTTACAATTAATAATACAACGTACGATTTCCAACTGATGCGTATGAAATTTACCAGCCGTCAGCTGCATGCATGAACAATATATATTCATGAACAAAGCTCTTTCCTCATCCGGTTCGTGGGCCAATAGTAAACAGGCTTTTCGTCAAACTACACCGACTCATTGATCACCTTGTCGAGTTATGATTAAAGAAATCCTTTAGAAAAATCCACTGTAAGTGGTATTTACTCGTTCCCCCACTAGAACAAGATGTGACACAAGGTCGGTTTAATGTGGGCACCCGAGCGCGTACACCCGGGTAGGGACAAAAATTCCCCTCATCCCTCGCAACCGTCGGTTGCGCTGGCCTCGGTGCGAGGACCGATCCCTTCCTCTTGTGCAATGGGAGGGCGCGGTCTCGGGCAGCTGTTCCCCAGGGCTGGGCACCTCTTCAGTATAATTTTTCCTCAGTTGCCCCTCTGTCCTTTGACAGAAAAGCCACTGAGCGCACTCTGTCCAAGGATATTCCACTGTAAGTGAGGAGCGAGTGTATTTCTCTCACGCTTCCCTGACACTTGTGATATTTTATTCAGCCTATTTTTAACGCCATGTTCAATTAGGATCTAAAAGATCATAGCTCTTCACGTGTTCCTTTTTTTTTATTGTGTGTGAATTTCTATGACGTTTTGGGAAAGATAGTGGAGTAGTTTCCTTCAAGATGTCATCGAAGTTTTTTTTTCTTTCTCTTATTATTGACACTCAAGAGAAACCCAGACTGACCTATTATACACCACAAATCTGGTGCGTGTGAGAGGGGGTGTCGGTGGAATGGATTCATGCGTATCTCGGAGGAACTAGAGCAAAGGGAACGAAAGAGACTAGAAAGTTCCTCGGAACTAGGTTTGCTTGATTCCAATTTTCAGCACCGATAACATTTACGCTACCTGTCATTTATGGAGAGTCAAGTGGTCGTTCCATATACAGCTCATCGTTTGTTCGGGCGTGCTTTTGGTCACTCGGCCTCAGAGAGCTCTGACGGAATGCACATTTTCTTTATTAAGAGTGATTACTGCAACGTCACGTCGAAACACCGCTTCCCGTACTGTTACAGAAGTTAAGCAACGTCGAATCTGACCAGTACCTAGATGAGAGACCGATTGGGAATATCCTGTGATGTAAGCTTGTATATGCGGCTGGTGTAATGGATAAGGCTCGGAATTTTTAATCCGAGAGCCGAGTTCCAATTCGTTATATTCACTTACACGCTAATACTCTTGGGGAAGTTAGGAATCCAACTGTTCCCCCAACTATGGGTTAATTAGTAAGACTTGTATCACTAAATTTTTATTGTCTCCGTAAAATATTCTTACAATCTGAAAATGTTAACCTTTCCGAACCGAAAGATTGGTCTCTTCTTGAAAGGCTGACGTCACCAAATCTTACAAATTCCTTTTTGTTTTTTTTTCTTTTTTTTTCTCTTTTTTTTTTTGAAATAAGCAATTTTATGTGTCGGGTGCAGTTGAGCGAGAGATGAACAAAACTCCTTGTAACAACAAAGATGAACTGAAGGCAAGGATTATGGCAGCATTCAGCAAAATAAACAGGAAGACTGTCTAGAAGAGTTGCAGGAGATTCCGAAGTTGTAAGGAAGCCGGAGTTGAAACCAATCGCGATTTTAATGAATAAATTTACTCTATAGTAGAGATTTTCCAAGCGTAGTTCAGATGTGGCACAGGGCCGAGAATATGGGGCACCGGTAAGGATCGAACTCACTTCTCAGTCGTAATTGTTCAAGCAAGACAAGCTTGTTAGCCATTACACTACGCCGAGGTGCCTAAATCATAATAATCAAGGGAATTGCAGTCTAGGGTGTTAGGTGGCTAGATCTAAGTGGTGATGTGGTTGCAGAAATTGTCTGGCAGTCATGACTGTATTCTCCTGGTTGTGTGACATGGTGCAGAGTCCTGTTGCCTGATATAGGATCTTCCAGCAGGCACCCTCTTAACACAGGGCAGCACTACTCTCCCAAATCGTTTGATGCAGGCCTCCGTGTTGAGACCCTGTGGGAAAATGAATAAAGGCATAACTATTGGTCACTCCAAACATCCTGATGTTGACTGAATATATCATGCAACTCTTTTGGAATCCTCTGCCCTCTCCTCAGATTGACAACCAAACACTCTGAAATTTTCGTATTGGAGCTTCTGGCGTTACATTTACCCTTTAGTATTTCAAGATATTTTCTGTAACTTTAGTAAAGATATCTATTAAAATGAGATGTCAGTGTTATGTTCATTTTTTTTTTTGTGTGTGTGTGCGCGCGCGCGCGCGCGCGCGCGCAATTTCGACGACAATTTATCCATCGCACCCTTTATATATATATATATATATATATATATATCAACATGTTTTAGTGTTCAGATCAACGTGTTTTAGTGGACTCAGCATTTTCAATCTGCTTAACTGAATCACCTTCAAGAAGCGAGAGCAAGATCTAAAAGGTCAGCCAATCTAACAGTGATCTCATCTCACAATTCTCACACCAACTCCATATGTGGCCTCCTTTGTAAATCACTAGCGGGTCTTAAATGCCACTTAAGATTATCGCATAAACTTTCATAACTGAATCAATAACCTGGCAGATCCTCATACGTCGAAACCGACGGGAGAGTCCATTATATATATATATATATATATATATATATATATATATATATATATATATATATTACTATTGAAAATTACTTATGACGTTTCTTAATATGATCACATTTGCACGATACAAAATATATTGTGATCATTAAATTGCTAGAATCGTTTTTTTGCCAATTTCTGTTTTTATTTCAAAGTGACAAGTGTCGACAAAGCAGTGCAGGTGCGTGCCCAGGTGACATCCCGTTAGGAAGTGTGGTAATCCGTGGGACAAGTGCAGTGATGGCGGTGCAGTGTTCGGGGACCTCGTGTTTCAGCAGATGCCCAAAAACAAAACAAACAAACAAAAAAAAAACATCTGAAATTCTCATTCCCAACTGATGATGGACCGGATCTGTGATAGATACCCAGAGAATCGGTCGTCTTTGAACATTCAAATTACGAAAAAAAAGTACAAAAGGTAAAATCTTTAGCGCTGTATTCCTACGACTATACTGTCCAAAATAAAACAGGTATTATAAACATCGATCAATAATTAATGAAGTTATTAATAATTTTAAATTGTTTCTTTACACGCAGCATATATATATATATATATATATATATATATATATATATATATATAAAGAAAAATATACGGAAAAAACAAACAAAAATCCTTATATACAATTATGCTGTTTTAATGTTAATATAATGTCAACGTCGGACGTTTCGGTCTAATAAACCATCTTCAGGACATATTCATAAAATATAATTAACATTATCAATTCAACATGACAAAGACGATGGACTTAAGAACAAGACAGGTCAGCTTAGAAGTTACTGCAAAGACCATTTGTGTGATGATATTGTATATATATATATATATATATATATATATATATATATATATATATATATATATCCAGGTGCGATGAGAATGAATAGAGTACACTTCCAACGTTCGTAACATTTAATTTAAAAGAGGGCTCAATACATAGTGGAGCTATATGTTTTTGTTGTAATATTCTAACACACACACACACACACACACACACACACACACACACACGCACACACACACCTATATATATATATATATTAAAAAGAATGGAAAATTAAGCATAATATTTTTTCCAAAAAAACCACATTACAACCAAAAACGTTTGCGGCACCTCTCTTCTCTTCTTTTTAATATACATACTTTTCTCTCGTTGGAACCACTACAACATATTTCTTTTATATATATATATATATATATATATATATATATATATATATATATATATATATATAACACGGTTTAAACACATACACACACACATGTGCGCGCAAACAACAAAAACCTCGACGTTAACGAAAGTGTTTGTATATTAAGAAGTGTCCCTCAATGCTGAAAGTCAGTTGACCCCACCCCAAAGTGAAGCCATCCGTTTCTACAAGCGTTGCCTGTACAACATCTGCAAAATGACTCAATGCATCGTACGATTTACACCTGGTGCAAGTGATAATTACCTTTTGTGATCTACTAACCGTATGTCCAGGTCAGCTTAGAAGTTACTGCAAAAACCATTTGTGTGATTAGCAAGGAAACTGGGCTTGCAGACTATTAGACATTTTACAGAGCTGGATCCTCGCTGGTGATCCATTTTTAGTGATGACAGATTGGTCTCTTCTTGAAAGGCTGACGCTACCAAATCTTACAAACTGCGCATTTTGGGGATTCCTTTTACAATAAACCGACCTATACAAGTTTTTTTAATTTCAAATAACCAACTTAGGATTTTCGCGAGTACTGGGGTTGCTTATTTTTTGTGCAATTATTAATTATTCGGACGCTTAAAGTTTGTTTTATGCTTAATAATAGAGAAAGAATAAATAAATAA